CAATCATCCAACGAATCATAATCGCCAAGTCACCGTGGGACTGGACCTTCTCGCCTTGGCGTATAGACGACACAATATTGTTCACACGACCTTCCTCACCAACGCCCATACGACGTACGGAGTCTGCCAGTCGCTGCATCGACGAAAGCTCCTTTTGCGCGCTATCCAACACGCGTTCACGGTTGGTGACATCCACCACGACGCAGCGTTTCAAAGAGTTCACCACACGATCAACCGTTGGAAATAAACTCAACATTTCGCGGTTAAACTGCTCCACCGATAGTGCCGGTGATCCCCTGACACTGTCCGGACGCATGACGCCTGTATTTTGGCGAATATCCTCCGTTCGCTGCTCCAACTCCGCGCAAACATCCTCGTACTCCTTTAAAAGACGTTTATTGTCAGCGCTCAGCCGCTCGCACTCTGTTTTATAATTGATGACTCGTCCGGATGCATCCTGGGCGTGAATATTGGCGTCCCCAAGTTTCTCCCGTAATGCCTCCAACTCCTCATTCTTCTCCGCGATGGTTTTGTTCAACTTTTGTATTTCGCCCTGCGCCAACTGCAGGTCGTGTGTCAAGACATTAATCCTGTACAACATGGCCTCGTTCTCCTCCAGCAACTGCCGTGTCGTCGGGTCCAAGTCGTACACAGGCAGTGCGCTGCCGCTGACACTGCGTGCCTCCTTTCCAGGCACTGCGGTCGCCGTATTTACCGGGCGCTCCGCCATCGGCGATAATTCCCTTCCGTCGTAACTCATCGGTCTGAATTGCACCAAAACACACACACACTTCTATTAAATTTATTTATTTCTCTTCCCCCCTCCCTTCACCACCTCTACACAAATAAAACAAATAAATAAACAAACAAAAAAAAAGAGAATGTATGACCTCCCCGTACTTGTGAATGTTGTGTTGCCTGAAATGTGAAAACAATCGGCTGGTGCTTCTACTGCTCCCTCGACCGTATTGGGCAATTCCCCAATAGACACACACACAAAAAAAAAAAAAAGGAAAAAGAGATGAGTGAAGAGTAGGCACGCAGCAAACAGGAATAACAGAGAAAGAGAGAAAGAGAGAAAGAGAGACATCAGTAAAACTCCATCAATGGACCCATCACATCGCAAAGCGGGATAATTAATAAGTAATAAAAAAAAATAAAATAAAAATAAAAATAATAAAAATTTAAAATGTAATAACTATTAATTTACCCCTTTTTTTTTTTTTTTCTTTTCATTGCCTTTTCTTTTTTCTTTTTTTTTTTTCTTTGCTGATCGGATTATAATTCTTTCACATGTTTTTTTTTTTTTTTTATTATTATTATTTTAAATGCCTTCCCACACAAACAAAAAAACAAACAAAAAATAAATAAATAACAAAAATTTGGTTCAATACTAAAATATGCATGTAAGCACGCATATGTGTGTGTTTGTGTGTGTGTTTGGTTGGGGGTTTTGGGCCTCTCGTTCCCTCCATTTATTTTGCCTCTTTTTATTTTTTCCCCCTTTTTTCCCCCCTTTTTTTGGGTGTTTTTTTTGGTTTTCACATCACTTCTTGGGTTTTTATTTTATTATTTTCTCCCGTATCGTCTGCAGGCAAATAACACCACATGGAAGGCAAATACACAAAGACAGAGAGAGAGAGAGAGAAACACGCATGTGTATAAATGAGAAAAGAAAAAAAAAAAAAAAAAAAAAAAACAAACTTCAAAATAAAATCTTCTTTTCATTTCTTTTATTTTTTATTTTTTATTTTTTTTATTTTTTTTTATTTTATTTCTCAATATGGATAAATAAATGTATAAGAAAAAGAGCCCAGCTCCAATAAGACAGCAACAAACAAACAAAAGAAAAAAAAAAAAAAACTTCAATTGACATGTATACACGCTTGTGTAAAAAAAAAAAAAAAAAAAAGCAAAAAACAACAAAAATTTCCAAATGTCTCACTTTATTTGAAATGTGCTGGTACATATATTTTTATTCATATATATATATTATATACATTTATAAAGGTAGAGAAGAGGGTAATGTACATGTGCCTACCGTATAGGGGTTTGTTGTTTCCTTTGGGAGAGTGGGGGGGTAGTAAAACATTTGTTTATTCTTCTGGAAATCTGCACCGCGTACGGGTCGACGTGTCCGACACGTTCTTCCAAACGCCGAAGAGCCTCTTCCAATTTCTCCCGCCGCTCCCGTTCCATCATTTCCCGTCGCATTTTCGCCAGTTCCATACGATTATTTAGTTTACATTGCCGCTCTCTGGTAGTATTAACTTTCTTTTTTTCAAGCTCTATGATGCGGTGAAGTGAGGCGGATTCCTTTTGAAGTTCATAATCAATCAATAATTTCCCACGTCTGTCGTATTCTTCGGCTGCACGTTGAAGAACATTCAGGCGCCGTTCCTCGCGCTCCATCATGTTTTGTATAGATATCCGCTCCGCCAGCGTGAGGGGCTCGGAACACTTCGTGTAGCTGTTGGAACAGGTGCTGCGGTATGCAGCGCAGCGAGCGGAATTTATGAGGCAGCGGAATCGCATATTTGACATCACATCTGTTGGGGCACTCACCGAAGCCGTTTGCGCATCGTGTGAACGTTGCCTGTAGCTTTGGGAACGGGTCTGACTGCGGCTTGTCAACGGTTTCTCTGAAAAACTGTGCAGCCACTTATCGTGGAAGTCAAACATTCGGCCATTTTCCATCTCAGCCGCTTCCCGCTTCTCAAGCTCCTTGTAGTTCTGTTCCCCGTCTCCCTGCGACGGAGGTAAATCCACCAGCGTATGCTCGTTGCGATATTCCAATGGATTTACCGGCGCAGGACTTTCCCTGGGATCAAGTTGCAAGGCGCCGTTCCCATTCCCGCAAACATTACTCTTCTCAACCATAGTCATTTGCAAATAATAATAATAATAATAATAATAATAATAATAATGTATGGGCGTATGTATATAAAGATATGTACTTTGTGTTATATAAATGATTCGGGATCCTTTTGCTGTTGTTGTTGTTGTTGTTGTTGTGTTTCTTTTTTTCCTTCCCCACCCCGTATGTATTATTATATTCGGATCCTCACTTTCTTCTCTCTCTCTCTCTTTTGTCACTCGCCTTATATATATGTATATGTGTTTATATGTGTGTTACCCGGTGAAGGCATAATAATTGAGAGAGGTGGGAAGGGGAAGGTGGGAGGAGGAAAGAACAAAGGAAATATATATAAAAAAAAAAAAAAAAAAAATAATTTATTTGTACATTTAAATAAATAAAATTGGAAAAAGTCAGTTGTATTGCCTCCAATGTAATTGTACCGCTTAATCCCCCATACGGAACAGTACACACACGTACACACACACACACATACACACATACACACACGTACAGATACAGACACATACAAAGAGCGGCGGAGACTGGGGTATATTTATTATTATTATATATGTATGTATGTATGTATGTATATATGTGTCTAAATGGGACGGTAAAAACAAAATGAACAATAAATAAATAAATAAATAAATAAATAAATAAAAAGTTTCACTACATGTAAATATAAGAGTGTAACTGAGGTAGAGAGAAATAGAGAGAATGAGAATGAGAACAAAAGTAAAGAAAGGCATCCAATTTTTTTTCTTTTTTTTTTTTTTTCTCTACCTTCAATTTGCATTTAAAAAAAAAAAAAAAAAGGGTGGGTGGGTGGGTGTTGGTTCGTAGAACAATTCCCTCCTCCTCCTCCTCCTCCTCCTCCTCGTGCGTTTTCTCATCCCACATGCTTTCATGAATGAAGAGAAGAAACAACAAAAAAAAACAAGAAGAAAAAGGCAGGAAAGAGAAGAAGTAGAAGAGGGAAATAAATAAATAAATCCAAAAAAAAAAAAAAAATACACAAAATACAGAGAGAAAGAGATAAAAAGAAAGAAAAATAAAAATAAAGGGATGTCTTCATTCCACGCCCTCGTAGCCTCCATGTATGTTTGTGATTCCTTTTTCTTCCCTTTTTTTTTTTCCGTCTCTTTATTTATTTATTTATTCATTTTGTCTTTCCGTCACATTTACTTCCTTTTTTTTTTTCTTTTTTTCTTTTCTTTCTTTTGTCTTCTTTTCATTTCTTCCTCCGTCCCCGCCCCTCCTTTTGACGGCCTCCTTCATGTCCTTTCGGCCAAATGGGCAAACGGTCAGCAGAAACGATTCCCACCTCTCCCGCCACGTAGGGTAACATACGGAAAACGCACCTGCAGAAGGCAGTCAAACCACCCCCTTTTCCTTTTCTTTTCATTTCCTTTTTTTTTTGTTTCCTTTGGGGGAGGAGAAGGTTAATTTATTTATTTTTTATTTTTTTTTTTTGTTTCTAAACAAGCGTGCGGGCAAATCCGGTGTTGTAGTGCAGCGCCTGTGTAAGGAATCGGTGAAGCATCAGCGACTCTGCAACATCAAACTTCACTGTCCAGTCAAACTTTTCCTCCTCGCCGTTACCGCCGTTCTGCTGCTGCTGCTGCTGCGGTGGCCGTGTCGATGTGCAATTAAGGATGAATGTGTGCGGCACTGCTGGGTCGGGGGCAAAAACGGCGTTTGTGAAGCGTGACTGCACCTCCACCTTGTCCAGGCGGCCCTCCAGCACGCCGAGGAAGCGGGCCGTGTACACGGCTGGCAGCATCACCGACACGACACGTTCCGCCTTGTTGCCCTCCTCCCCAAGTTTCTTCACCTGACGGTGATAGTCGAGGACAACAAAGCTGTCGCGGTGCAGCACACGCAACAGGTGGCCGCTGCTCATGTCATCGTCGTTCCAGTGCACAACATCAAACGCAGGCGGAAGCTGCGGACGGCGGGCGCGTAGTTGTGACGCAGATAGGCGGCGCCACCGTGACGCAGAGCCGCTAGTATTGGTGTCATGCTTGGCGTTGCTGTCCGCAGGGGCCTCACTACCGCTTGAGTCTGCACCCTGGAAACGTACAGGGGATAACGTGAAGTATCCCGCCACAACATATCGTTGGGCAAACACGGGCCGAATTGAAAGACGACGAAGCATATGTATATTATTAAATATAAATATATATATATATAAATATATGTTTTCCCCTATCAAAAAAAAATTTTTTCCTTAAAAATAAAATTAACTCAATCAAATAAAATGTATACCACGATCTATCAGTCAATTTAACTTGTATCTCTCTATTGAGCCTTTCCGTCCTCTTTTCTGCCTTTTTTTTTTTCTTTTTCTTGTCTTCTTCGGTCGCTAAATTTCTAAAAAAAATAATAAAAAAAAGTCAAGCACAAACACATGTAAAATAAATGCAGAAATAAAAGGAGTATCGTCGTGTTCAACACAATACAGTCGGAAGATAACGATGGGGGGAAGGGGAGGAGAAGGGGGAGGAGGGGAGGGTATTTAAAGAGATGCCGCGTATTTGTGTACACGTATGTATATGCATACTACATGCATTTAAATCTCCTTTTTTTTTTTCTTAAGAAAAGAAAAAAAAAAAAAAAAAGGACATGTGATGCACGTCAAAGGGGGAGATTGTAATAAAATCGTTGAAAACATTGAACTTCTCTCCTTTCTCCCTATCTCTCTCTCTCTCTGTGTGTGTGTGTGCGTCTTCCAGTGGTCTACCGCCTGTTATTTCCGCTGCGACAGATCGTTAACGATGTTCTTTACTTTCCCCATCGTTCTTTGCAGTTAAATATATTTCTCCCTCTTTTATTTATTTATTTCTTCCTCTTCTTTTTGCCCGCTTCGCTCCTTCCCCGCTCCAAATGCGTGAGAAGATGCAAGCCGGGTGAAGCACACACCCCACATCTACACACTGACGCAGGCGCCTCCATTCCCTTCATTTCCCTCCCCTCAACAACATGTGGACTGCACGCCCACCTAATCACCACCCGCCCCTCTGCCTCTTTCCCCTAACATTAAATATGCCCGTCGTGCGCCTCAGTGCTGTGCAAACCCAAGCGCGTCAATGATCCGCTCAAACACCAGCGAAAAGGCCGCACCGCCGATCACGCCGCCCAAAAGCCCCGGCGCCTTGTAGTACCGCCAGCCGTACGCCCCGCCGAGAATGGCACCGGACGCCGTTGGGTTCCACGCGTCCTTCCGCCCGCGTCGCTTCTCCAGCGCCACCTCAATCCCTCCGAATAGGAAACCAAAGTAGGCAAAATTGCCTCCAAGCTTGTTGGCGCTGCGGAGACTGTGACGGAAGAAGTCAGCAGTGCCCATGCGCTGCGTCGACGTCTCCGCGGAAATCATGGCACCGAAAAGGGAAAATCCAAAGCCCATGATGTAACCACCGACAACGTTCATTCCGGCTGTCGCCAGTGTGCTGTCCTTCGCCATCATGAGCGCCTTCTGCGCGGGGTCTATAGGGGGCTGAGGGTCAAGAATTGTTGACATCTACGTTGTTTGATCCTCGTGTAAATGTCAACGGATACAATCTTCGTGTGTGTGTGTGTGTGTGGGACGGCTGCCGCTATTGCTGCTGTTGCTAGGTATTATTAATATAATTAGTGTTATTAATTGTTTTTGCCGATCCCCCCTTCACCTTTTTTTTTTTCTTTTGTTTTTGTTCTAAAGTGCGGCGCAACAATGAGAATAAAACCGCACGGCACGCAATAAAAAAAAAAAAAAAGAAGGATTTTACTGCCGCACTGTCCTTTTCCTTTTTTTTTTCTTTTTTTTTTTTTATTCCCCTTAGAAAAATTGATCCTTCTCGTCCCTTCTACGCGGTGACAGGAAACCGGCTGACTTCTGTCTGTAAGTAACCCCACAACAATAAAGAAGTAAAATGCACAAAGAAGGAAAATAATAATAATAATAATAATAACGACAGAAAAGACACATCCCCACAAACAACATGTCTCTTTGCAATGAGTTGTTCTTATTTTACTCTTATTAGGAAATATATAAATATATCTACATCATATACGTGTATGCTTCCTCATTTCATTCTCTACAGGCGATGTAATCACACTTTACTCACATGACGACTTCTGGTCTTGACTCCAGAACGGCGATGCGTTGCTGTGATTCCTCACCTTCCGCGGTAACTCCAAACACGCCTACGAACTGACTGTACCCCGATAACAGACGAAGGCGGAGGTACCGGATGCCTTTACCGGCACTTCTCATATCAAGTTGCAGCTCCTCTATTTGTCTCGTGTCATCACTCGAACGAGTCAATATGCGCTCCGCCAATTTCTCAAAGGAATTTGGCAACGCCGTGGTGCATTTTTCCACCACAATGTGCTTTGCCTCGTGCAGTGCCAACTGCAGATGGGAAATATTAGAAGAGGCAGAGGTGCCTACAGAAAAAATGATGTCCTGCGGAAACCCGCCGGTAGTGAGCATAAATGTGTCAGATCGCCCATCAACAAGACATAATGGAGTCATGCTCTCATCGTCGTTGTGAAAAGAGATGTAGATTGGGTCCAGTGTCACAGGAGACATCTCTCTCTCTCTCTCTCTCTATATATATATATATATATATATATCTAGGTGTAAAGAAATATATTTTGGTCCCTTTCTTTGTGTATGTGTGCGTGTGTGTGTCTTCTCGCAGGTGATACTTCAGCTGTTGCAATCATACATAAAAAGTAGAATGGCCACAGTTTTAAAGAAAAGACAGTAATGGGGTCCTGTGGCTGCACAGAGACATATATATATATATATATATATGCATGCACGCAGCTGGAAGGATGGCTCTGTGTATATTACACAAACGATAATTTTTTATCTCTTATGCGTCATCGTTATCTTACTCTTTTCTTCACTTTCTTCCGAATTTGTTATTCAACTTACACGGCACAGCAGCAATAAAACAAACACCCACTCACAAGCACATGCTGCCGCTTTTTCCTAATCTATCCCATCGCACGCACGGCGGTCACTTACCCCGCCTGCCTTTTTTACCGCGCTGCCGCGGGCCCAACTCAAACTCTCTCGTGTACCGCAAAATGCCTTGCGACGGGCGATTCGGGTTCTCATCCCCGCCGCGCACATCCCACATGCTGTGTGCTCCCTTCCTGCGCTCCTTCACCTGTTGTGTTCGCTCATCATGCCGCACATCCCGCTGCACCCTACGGATCGTCTTGTTAAACACACGCAGGGTGCCGCTGTTAATGTCATAGCGGCCCGACTGCTTCAGCGGCGTCGGATCGCCCATGCGCCGCAGGAGATGTTCGCGTTTGAGTTGTCTGCGCTGGAATAAAGCGATGCGCTTGTCCTTCGCCGCATGAAGGGCGCTGCCCTTGGAGTAGTCCACCGCCTCCCCGCGGGTCTCACGCTCCCACTGCGACCGATCACGCAATTCCTTCTTCTCCTGCGAGACCTGCCGCAGACGATCTGCAAACCCCAGACCCGTTTTATTGTTCCGTAGGTGATCGTACGTGCGAAGCGGTGCGCCGTCACTTTTGTTGCTACCACGAGATAACGCAGAGACGGCACTTGCTGGTCTTTTTCCGCCAATGCGCTCAAACTGTCGCCACGACTCCTCAATGCGTTCCTCCATCGTGGCGTTCTCGGCGTGCAGGGCGGCAGTACGGGTGTAGATATCCTGCAGCTCTTCGTTGATTTTCTGATGGTGCACAAGGAGATCGCGGTGGTCCTGTCGCTTGGCCCCGCTGTTTTTCTTGTACGCCGCAACAAACTTTTCGTTCTCATGAAAATGAATGCCTCGGTGCAGCGATCGAGGACCGGGAATGACACGGCGTCGCTTTACAAGTTCGCGCGTCGCACGACTATTCAGGGGTGGCATCCCCAATGACACACGAGTACCACCCCGTCACAACCGTAAAAAGGAAGCCTAAAAGTTTTGGATTTTCCCGCGTGTTTCTGTCCGTGTACGCTCTTTAAAAGCTCCACTTCCCCTCGTTAAATCGGATGCCGCAGGATCCAACAGCACAAAAAGAGGAAGAAAGAAAGAAAAATAATAATAATAAAAATAAAGAAAGGGGCAGTCCATGGCCTTATAAACCACAACCCCACGCAGAATATCCATATGCACATATGCATGTATATATTTGGGCTTGGAATAATAAGAATAATAAGAAAAGCAAGAAATTATGTCATCAACGTCCCTTTCTGCTCTGCGGCTCACCCACGTCAGTGATCTTTTACCTCATTATATTGGGGACGATGCTTCCAGCGCTTCCATCGCTGGAAGACCCAGAAAAAGATTCGCCATTGCCAAAAGTTCCTCCATGAAATGCTGCGATAATTCATCAAGAAAAAAATCTTCACTTTCTAATGACTTTGCCGCTGCCGCTCCTGTTGTTGTAGTCGTCGTCGTCAAAGTCTTCCATGCGCTATGGTGCGGTAGCCAAAGCATGGAACATGTGGCACCACCGCACTCTGTGACGGTGTACGTTGGAGTGTGTGGTGAGCGCTGAGCCGAGATGGGAGGCATCGCCGTGCAGTACATTGCATGCAAACGATACCCACCAAAGTAATACACCGGCACTTCCCGCCCCAAACGATAATAATGATTATGGCAACCACATGCGGGTGCATCTAAGGAAAGAGCCGTTGACGTTGGATTTGGCGGTAGTCCCTCTGCAGTACGAACGCGCCGCTCCACACAACTAAGCAGACGGTTGACCATCGCCTCGTCACTCGTCCATGCTGCACCTTCTTCTTCTTTGGTTGTTGTTGTTGTTGTTGGCGATTCAGAGGACGCCATGCGGGTATTCACCGGAGAAGCCGCAACAGCAGCTTCGGCAAAAAAACCAGAATTAAACCTTGTTTCACCCAACGATAACGCTTGACACATCCGGCAGCGCCGCTGCAACCAAACACTAACCGAGGTAAAATAAAAAAGAAGCCGTGATATATAGGCAGCAACGCCACTAAAGCTACTGCTGCTGCTTTTCTTTTCTGCGTAGACGTCTTGCAAATTTTGTTGCATAACGCGCCCCAGTGTTCCTAAATTCACAGCGGAGGCCACATCATGAACGCACACACCCACCAAACGGTTTTCTGAGGATAGGGCAAATTTATTCACATGCTCCGCAATAAGTTGCAACAGGGATGTAGAGCGGGATGGGAGAATCCACAGACTGCCGGGCAATTCCTCCGTGGGCATAAACTGAGGTCTTGTTGCACTCCCATCTCTCTCCAATTGACTGCTGCCAAAATGCCAGTGTAAAGACCACAACCACGTGATATATGCTAGAAGAACATGCAGCAAGTGTCCCACATTGCTGAAAACGAGGTCTAGACAGTAAATAAAATTTTCTAAGAGATAAGAGAAAAATAACGACAGCACGGATAACATCACCGGAGACTCTATTATTGGTGGCTCAGCAGCAGGGCCTTCGCTACCATGAAGTGTCATCTTGCGGCAGAGTAGCCCACTCTGCAGTGCCATCTGCAACAACGGCACGGGGCTGCGCGGGGCAGCACAGACGAGAACTCCACCACATGTAACCCTGCTACTATCGTCGTCAAAATCTTCATCCTTCACCACGGATTGAATCAACTTCATATAATGCACATGCCAAATGTCGTTTTCCTCCAAAGACATGGATGTGTTTAGAAGCTGCACCGCCCTCAGTCGTACCAGCCGCTCCCACTGGTATTCCCCACACTGCAGAATAAGCGTTTCCAAAGGCGTTTTTTGTGTCCTTCCGCCGTTACTGCCATTCTGTGTGCCACTGGTTTCAGCGCAGCAGAATTCCGTCTCCTCCTCCTCCACTTCTTCTCCTTTTCGGCTCTTCACATCCTCCTCCATCATCATCATCTTCTTCTTCTTCACCTGTTTGTTCTTTCTTCGATCCCCCAGAAGGAGTCGTCGGAGACGACCCCAATTGCGCTTCTTCACAATTGGTGACGCGACGACTTCACCTTTCGTCAGGTTCGCATTCTCCAACGAGTTGTCTTTGTCATTCCGGCTGCCATCGACTTCGTGGGTAGCGTCTTGATGCAGGTTTTGGTCCTCTCGCAGGCCATCCGGTGTAAGAAGATGCACAAACACACGCCTCTTGGCAAATGCACAGAAGTCATTCTCGTTTAACACCCCCGGAAAATGTGCATCAAACGTGGCAATAACCTCGGGAAGTTCCGGCAAATGCCGAAAAATCATGAGGAGCGCTGCCGGGCGGTAATTCGCAGCCTGACCGGTCGTGCTGCCATGGCCATCATCGGCTAAAGAGCACTCGCCAGCAACGGCGCGCAGAAATAATGCGCCAAGACTTCGTCGGCAGAGAAAGACAATCACAGCTAGCACACATGTGACAACAGGCAGCTGCAGATCAATAAGAGCGTATCCTTCCTCCCACCCCGTGAGTTGAATCCGCACCACAGACATGATGCTCCTCCTCCTTCTCCTTCGGCCTACAGAGCTACCGTGACCTATTGCTGCCGCCGCCACGGCCTCGGGCGTTGAGCATCAAAGAAAGAAACAAAAGAAAGAAAAAAAAAAAAAAAAACTACAAAAAAAAAAAAAAAAAGGAGCAAACGTTAGTTAAACGCCCACAATTAAAATCACAAGTCAAATAACATTATTAATACCAATGTATAATGGGGAATGGAACCAATCTACATGCAGATATAGATATAATTATTTGACTGCACGCCATAAACAGATTTAATAGAGAGTAAGAAAGAAAAAAAAAAATGTGTCACCCACTGCGGGCATCACAATTCGGCAAAGCGGATATTTATCTTCCTGTCGATAGGGTTGCTCATCTCATAACGCGACGGTGCCGCATTTGTTTTGTTACCAACGATCCAACTGACACCCAGCCATGAAGTTGCAAGTCCCAGCACCCACCCTGCAAACACAAATATCAAAATCACCACCATAACCGCCTGGCACGTCACCCACCACGTGGATCGCTTCATTCCACGCAATTCGCACCACCCAATGTGCCCCTCCACGTGCCGGAACGTGTGTGGATCCTCACACATTGCCATCAGTGAGGCAGCCGTTCCGGTGGGAGAGTAGCCATCCAATGTGCTCAACACCTCCATGTAAAAGTCCCCCTCCTTCTGGTGAGTACTGGCTGGGTAGTCCATAGAACGGCTGTTCTCATTCTCTTTGGGGCGGACTGGCTTGTTGTCTACCGTAATCTCCCCACGGCGTACACGTTGAAGAAATCGAACATTTTCCATCAGATTGGCTGCAGCTTTTAAAATTGGCAGCCGCAACAGTGCTTTGTTATCTTCTTCTGTCCCCATTTCGTCATCATCACCGTCTCCTTTCATTTTGCTGCTTCTGCTGTATTCCGGCTCCTCACACTGAATCCTTCGCCCAACAGCAGTGCCAGCAGAAGCCACATCACGAGCAAGACTCGCCCAACTTGGATCGTTGCGAAAACGCAGCTTCACTCCAAGGTAATTACAGACACTGTGGTACACATCGTCATGAATGAGACGCTTCACGACGGTCGTATCCTCCTGCACATCACCGGAGCTCCCTGTTTGGCTGGAAGTGAGCGCCCGCCGAATTTCCTGTGCCACTGTCGGTTTATGTGCAAACAGAAAATATGGGTCCTTAATTCGACCTTCTGCCGGCTCCGTCTTGTGTAGTACATAGCGTTGGTAGTACTCCCACCAGAGATCCAACACCGTCACGGCATCACCGTCTGTAGGCGACCGTTTTTCAGGCCGGAGTAAAGACCATACCGCTTCAGCGATGGCATCATTCCTTTTCTTGACAAGCGTAGATCCCACAGTGGAAGTATCTGTTACAGGGAAGTGTGGCCCATCCCGTACGACTCTTCTTTTCGGGTTTGAGTCCAAATCGTTTTCCGTAGCCTCATGCCACGTCACCACAAAGTGATTCGCCACGGACCAAGGGGAAGGTGACGGTGCCGCTGCTTGCAAAGATGGCATTCGAGTCTTGTAGCGCATGAGATGACGACTCAACTCCCCATTCCGCAGCAGGTAGGGGTTCACGCACGGGACGCACTGGGCAAACTCCATAAAGATAAGAGACGTATTCTCCTCATCACACATGTCATCGGTGCAACTCCCATTTGGTCGTGGTTGCAAAAGAGAGAGATGCACCGCAAGGTAGCAGTTCATCGCCACTTCCCCTTGGGCAAATGTCACACTGCCAATACCACGATCAGCATCAAATACAAAATGTTGCACCTCACCGTAGTGGCCAAAAAAACTCTCAACATATGTCGAGGGGAATGATGTCTTCTGCGTCCGCTGTGGGAAACCGGCAAACAAGATTTCGCGGTATACATCCATCTCTGCCTGCGTCATGTGAGTCATGATCCTTTTCCACGAGTATTAGAAGTGCTAGAGGATAAATTAATGGTTTCTTTTTCTTTTCTTTTTCTTTTTCTTTTTTTTGTTGGCTGCAGTGATGTGGGCTGCTGTAACCATCACCCATTCCAAAAGGAGCAACAAACAAAAAGAGAAAAAGTAGTGAAAGAAAAAAGAGAAAAAACGAAAAATGTCATAAAGCAAAAGATAAGCAGAACAAAACAAAACAAAAAACCTGCTAAATGGATTCATCATTGGTTCTCTCCTTTACTGCAATCGTGAGGGAAAAAAATAGAAATAAATAATGGAAGATGAAGTGGTCCAAGCAACAACAACAACAGGCAACGTTAATAGGCCCCAGGGTTCATCTCCTTCGCATAGCGCATCTCCTCCTCCAGGTGTACCATCTCCTCCGGCGTCCACTCATTCTCCAGCTGAAGGTATTGGCGCAGGCTTTCAGCCCCCTCCATAATCGATGGTGCAGCTTTTGAGATTTCTTGAATACGCTCCGCCAAAAAGGCAGCAAGAAGATCATGCAGCACGTCAATGCGCAGATATGTAGAGCACTCCAGTACTGGAATCAAGAGTTGATGTTTCTCAATATCCCGCACCAAAACCATTTCCCATGCTTTGACGAAGTGACTCACTGGAGCTGTGAGCGGCTTTGGTATGTCTACAAGTCGCCGGTCGGTGTTCATCAAGTATTCAGACACATACTTCACCACCAGGTCGGGGTAGTCAAGTTCCAGTGGCGGCATCTCTGCACAACCACCCTCGTCTAGCAGAGCCAATGCATTAAGAAGACCGATATGTTCCCATGCGATGTTGGCTGGTATCGTAAATGACATCCCGTCCTGAGAGCAAAGAATAATGTCACAGGCCGTTACACTCTTTGACATGATATATATATATATATATATATTATGTATATAATTTCTAATTTCTATTTCCTCTTCACCTTCTTCTTACTCTTGTTGTTGCTAAGTGCAGAGTGGCTTGCTGGCCCACGTTCTTAGTTCCTGTTTCCCCCCTTTCTTTTCCTTGCCGTTGTTGTTCTTTTTTTCTTCTCTTTTTTTTTTTTTCTTTTCTTCTGTTACTATCCATATGTTTGAGGGCGCCATCCATGGATGGGTAAAGTTTGTGCATGCATGCACAGAGAAACATTATATATATATATATATATATATTGAAAGAGAAAATGAGAAAAGATAAAATAAATGTCTCATATTTCCATCCAAACCCAAACAAACATAGAATATAATAATAATAATAATAATAAAAGATATAAATTTTTTTTTTTTGTTTTGTTTTTCTTTTGTAGGTGCGCTCTCAAGCAATATATATAAATATAAATATAAATATAAATATAAATATAAATATATGTCAATATAAGCCCACACGCCGTAGGAATTCATTTTTTATGTCTTCTCTCTCCCTCTCTCTCTCTTTTATTTTGTGTATTTTCGTGTGTATTGTGTTTTATCTCCGTAGAATTAAATAGCAGTCGCATATGTCTCCTTAACTGTGAGTCCAGTCATCGCTTCAGTGACCTGTTGAACGTTCTCTCCTCCTCCTCCCCCCTGTGCTCCACTGCAAGAATGGTTCAGAAACCAAAAAAAGAAAAAGAAAGAAAAAGAAAAAAAAGGTATTCTTTCTTTCATTATCATCAAAAATAATACATACATACATACATATATATACATACACCAATGTACACACAACAAGAGAGAGGTCAACAACAACTAATAATTAATTAATAATAAAAAAGAAAGAAAAAAAAAAAAGGCGCTTACAAAACAAACAAACAAACAACAACAAAAGAAAATGAATTTAATCATTGACAATATAAATATAACAACGCTCTGACAGGAAAATAAAACCACAGTTAGAAAAATAAAAACACACAAATTAGGATAAAAAAAAAAAAAAAAAAAGGAAAAACAATTTTTTTTTTTTGTTGTTGTTTTTAAACCTCCACCTCCCATCGCAAGCCAAACCATATTTTAAAGCACCTTTTTTTTCCCCCTTTTTCTTTTCTTTGGGAGGAGGAGGGGGGAAGGGGGGGAGTTGTAGTCATTGTTGGAATCACCTCCCGTCACGATGCCTGTTATGTGCGCAGGGAAACATACAGACAAACATATAAATACATACATACATACATAGAGAGATAGAGAGATAAATGGATGGGTAGATAGGTACAGATGTGTCTGCATGTGTGTCTGCTTAAAAGAGGAAAGGGGTTAGGGAAAGGAGTAGGGAGATTGGGGAGATTGGGGTGGGTGGTTGATAAGGCTCCCCTTTTTGTATTAGTTTTTTCCCATGCCTTTTTGTTGTGCCTTCTTTCATTTCTCATGTCTCCTTCAAAAAAAAAAAAAAAAAAAAAAAAAAAAAAAACTCGTTGGAAACACACAAACATATACACCCCCTCACACAACCGTTTATTCTGTTTTATTTCTATGTACTTTTGTTTCTTTGCTTTGTTTGTATTTTTTAAAAATAAATAAATAAATAAATAACTATTTATTATTATTATTAATTTGTGTAAGTAAGGGTATTTCTTTCTTTTTCTTTTTCCCCTCCTCCTCCTCCTCCTCCTCCTCCTCCTCCTCCTCCTCCTCCCTCTTCTTCTTCTTCTCTGATCCCCACCACCTTCTCCGGCTTCCAGTGAAATATTTCTTCTGTTGTTGTTGTTGTTGTTCTTCTTCTTTTTAAGAGGGAACAAACAGTAAAACACCTCCTTCACTACTCCTCCTCGTTGCCCGGCCACTCGTTCTCTAATTTCAGGCAATCCACTTCCTTCCTTGTCCAGTCATTCCGCACGCTGAAGCACTCACGCACTAACGCGGCAGCCCCAAAGCAATCCATCGACGCGTAGCTCGCGCGTATTATAAAATCCGCACACCACGCAAGGCACATGTTCTCTAGTGAAGATATCTTTAGCATCCCCGCAGCACGGATGACGCCAGCAAGCAGGTTAACGCGATCCGAGGCAGGCACTTTCACCGTCAACGCGGCACGAATGGCTGGTTGACTTAAAAGTGGCGCCGCGTAAATGTAACTGATCGTGGGGGCAATGTGCAGAATTTCCAACGCCGTGGCCAGCTCCTCCTCCGTCTGGCCAAGAATTTCACGGTACAAAAAGCCGCGTTCCCATGGACTCAAAAATCGGAGAAGCGGGGCACTGAGTGGCTCAGGGATGAGCGTCGGACGCAGTCGTTCCATCGGCTCCGCGTCACTAGCAAAGTAACGCAGATACGCCACACAGAACCCCAATGCCTCGGAGAGAATGGGAGAAGAAACATCGGCACTGTTGTTCCCGAGGCTATCCGGAGAAACTGCAGCTGGCGCTGGCACCAATTTCACTGGTTCCGCTTGACTCCGTGCGCTAGTTGGTTGTTCCATCGTGCTAACGGGTGTTGTAGTCGCTGAACATGCAGATCTAGATTGACGGCGGGCCATATGATTCTGCGAGGCCGTTGTTAACTTCACGCTAGAATCCTGTATTTCCTTTTCGTTGATTTGGGTCGTGGTAGTGGTGGCTAAAAGCAAAGATTTATGTACCTCAATAACAATCTCCTCCTCCGAGATTATAAAACATTGTAAATGACCCGCTGAAAATCCTTCAGTCGATGGACCACCACCCGTTCCAGCGGCCGCAGTATGATTGGAGGAAGCTACACTGCTGTTTTGAACAATAGACCGCGGGCGGGTGTTGTTTGTACTATTTTCTGTTAATCTATGAGTAGGCGGTGAATTCCGCGGCGATGGCTCCACGCTACCAGGAGTACCAATACTGTTGTTATTGTTCTTGTTACTACCACCACTCCCCGGAGAAACCGAATCCTTACTCTTATTCGACATCGTCATCTCTTCTATTAACCTTGAAAAGGGACCATCTGGGAGAAGCAATTTTTCTTCTTCGTCGCCAATCATGCAAGGAGTACGGTGGTGATATCCGGAGGGAGATAAAAACTCCTCGTTTGTAAGGCTGCGTGGTGAGAAAAGGGTAGGGATAGGGGAAATGAAATCTGTGGAGGCAGTCCTCTCCCCTATACCGTCGTGTTCCTCCTCCCCAGCCGCAGGAGGGGGTTCAATATAAACGGTGCTAGAATCACGTCGATTGACAACTACCCTCTTGTCGTTATTCCGCGATGCGGGTTCGAGGCAACCAGCTCTACTGTCTCTGTCAGTCCCACATGCGCTACCCAAAGTTGCTGCCTTTTCTTCCGGTGGTGATGATGGTGGTGGTGGTGCCGCCGCCGCCGATGTGTTGGGTGAAATGGGGTGAGCATGTGCGGAGGGCGGGTTTGAGTCCGGTATCGGTGGGGCATCCAGACTAACACAACGTTGCTGCTCATTGATAACTTTGTTGGGTGTCTTTTCCACTTCTTCATCCTCGAGTGTGCTTGGCGTTGCACTATCTTCTCTGTCATCACGATCAGCGGCAATTGCAGGCGCTGCCAATATAAATTCCCGCATTTCCTTGCCATTTTCACTAAACCACAGGCTGCCAATGGCATTGTTCCCATCACAACTATTCAATTTTGAGCCGCCACGGCGCCGTGGGGTTTTTCGTTGCCCCCGCAAGGGTGGCGATTGTGCAGAGTCTATCGAGGGACACGTTGATGGTGTACGGCTACTGCTGCGGTCATCGTTACCGTTTACATCATCGTCTTCCAAAACGCTCACTGTACGGTCTAAATCGCACGAAGCCTCAATGAAAGGCTCCCGGAGCCTCCCGCCATCGTACTCGCGGCTTTCCTTGTATTCGGCCGTGACATTGTCGAGGTTCCCCGACGCACCATGACTACAATTGCGGGTTGATGGGTAATCATACTCCTCCTCCTCCTCATCCTCATCCTCATCATCATCCATGATGTGGTCGGGGGTGCGCTCGGAATCGCTTCCGCTGTTCGTGCACATATTATCAAAATCATCTTCTGTCAATGCGGCCTGCGGGCAGTGGTTTTCCGCCCAGATTTCTAATGCAAGGCGCACAACCACGGAGAGCTCCCCGGCCTCCTCCGGCACCGCAATCCTCGTCCCATCGCTGGTCTGCAAATAAATGGCAGGCATCTTGTGCAACTATGCACAGACTCGCGGGGTAAGAAAAAAGAGGAATAAAACAAGAGAAGGGAAGAAAGAATGAGAGGGAATGTGACACGCGGTACCACTCGCGCACCCCCAAACTTTCCTTATCTTCTCTCTCCCCCTTTTTTCCTCTGTACTCCCCACACTTGTCCCTTTTCTGCCTTGTTGCTCCAGACGCACTTGTACTTCTCCAACCGAGCCCCCTCCCCTCCCTCTCGCCACAGAAATAAATAAATTTCCTTTCCCCTTTTCCTTTCCGGCCGGCCGTTGTGAGTCCCAAAAGGCACAAAAACCTTCAATCAGCTCCGTTCCTTCTTCCTCCCTCTTTTTTTTTAAATAATTAATATGAAGGATATATATATATATATGCCCTTCCCTTCTCTACCTTCAATGTGGTGCAGTGTCCCCTTTCTATGTGTCCCTCACCTTCCTCCTCCTCCTCCTCCTCCTCCTCTCTCTCCCTCTTTTTTTTTTCTTCTTTCCTTCTTAATTCTCAATTTCAATCCAAAAGGAATATATAAATATATATATTTATATCCCTTTTTTGTTTGTTTTGTTTTTTTTCCGTCGCGGTTTTGTTCTTCCTCCTTTCTCTGTCCCTTCGTTTTCGTGCGCTCTCGCCTGTTGAGCCACCCCACAGGTCAAGGAAGAATAAATAAATAAATAAAAAAGTAAAAAGGAAAGAAGTGGCGGCAATCCAACAGGAGTCCCAATGGAACACATACATACATACATCTATAAACCCCTCTCTTTCCTTCAGAAGATTACGTTTTTTTTTTTCTTTTTTTTTCAACAATCCCCAATCATTTTGACTCCAACATATTCCGGTGACGTTTCGATTCGCCCACAATGAACCAGCGAAGCTCACCGCGACGACAGTGGACCTCACTGGGGTGGGCAGGAGTGACATGACACTCCATCATGGCGTCCCCTGTGCCGTCGTGCCTAACATGAAAAATGTTCAGCAAGACAGAGGCTAATGGGACACGGAAGGCAGTGGTGTTCCGTCTAATGTAAGAGTTCAGCTGGCGGCGCTGCGACCTCCACAAATCGCCGTAACCATCCGTCTTGGTACTACTTTTGTTCAACTCCTCGTCATCCGCGCCATAGTCGCCATCCACATTGTCGTCACTTCCGTATTCCTCCTCTTCATCTTCCTCCTCCTCCTCCTCCTCCTCCTCGTCATCATCATCGTATTCGTCATCCGAATCGCCAACTCGTTTTCTCTTGCGTCCCTGTTGTACGGAAAACCCCTTGTCCAAACCGGCTCGTGTTGCAGTAGTCATGGGGTATGCGCAGGCCAAACCAGCAAGCGTGCCTACAACAACCAAAGTGTTTACGCCTTCATCCGGTTCACGCGCGGGGCCGTTAATCGTAGCACTATAAGCAGCAATGTCATCCGCAATGACTTTGAGCAGCACACGCGTGGAGGCAAAGGATGCGTCACCGCCTTCGGCAACGGCACACCATTCACTGAATAGCGCCGCCGCTACCAATGCAACAGGTGGATGTTGGTGGCATTGGCTAGACTGGTGGTGCGGGAAGAGGGATTGTACAGCGTTCATGAACGACGAATACTCCACGCTGCGTCCATCCGAGTTGCTGTGCTGTGATAGGGAACGCATAAAGTCATCCGCAAAGACGCCGCATTTCTCTCTCTCATTCGTGCTTCTTTCATACCGTTGTTGCAGGTGGTGCAGCAGGCGATGGCGGGTCGCTCGAAGCGGAGGAGGAACACGTTGCGTCGCCCACACTGAGGAAAGAAGCGCAAGGTGCGGAAACGCAAACCACCGTTCCGCCATGTTGCTGTCAAGATAATAAGAAGTCGTCCCAGCGCTTGCACCACCCCCACGACGACCCTTGTCAACATGAACACTGCCTTTACTTTGGCCCGGTGGCTGTGTGAGAAGCAGACGCACCCACTCTGGAAACAAATTCCCAATGGCTGTGCGTTGCCTCAATTGGAGCAGGGAAGACAACTCTTCCCTCCCACCCCGCGCTAACGATGCCGACTGCTGTTCACGAGCATCCAAAATGGAAAAAAAGTGTTGCAGAAAACGACGCGTCGTCCCTTCCTGACCCTCAAGAGGCATTCGCTGACAAATAAAAGAAAAGAGAATACAGGGAAAAGAACAAGAAGTATGTACAGCCGCATACCCTTACCCATTATATATATATATATATGAAACTCCCTCTCCACATGCAAAAAATTATCTCCATACATGTATAGGTCGAGCGTACGGGGGAAAAAAAAAAAAAGAAAAGAAATGGGCATCGCTTCTCACAACGCTCTCACGATAACACCAGCACAACCAATCAGCAGGAACAACAATGAAAAGGAGGAACTTTCACATCCATCCCCAGGTGGGAAAGACGCCTGCCACACGGAACGCGACGTTACTTTTAACAGCACTTTTTTCTTGCGGTCGCAATACAAAGATAGTTTCTGACGTAATTCCAAATGGATCATCCGCTTCTTCAGACTCCACGCCACACGCAAAGGAGAATGCCGCCACAGCAAAAGCAGAACGTGCATGAACCCCATTGGAGGCATTAAAAAGACGCCAGACGCATGCCGCGCTCGGTGTGACGCAGACTTCTCGAAACCACAACGTGCGATGGCATCGATGGGCGATGTGCAGCCACCGCTGAAGGTGCTGCCGACTGTTGAGAATCTGCTCCACTGCGTCACCTGCCTGCGTCGATGTTGTCTCAAGCCACTGCAGAGGATCGCTCCTGACGCGGTCGTCGTCCAACTCGTGCACAGGCGGTGGCACCAGGGCGCAGCGCAGGACGGATGTTTTCACCTCCTCGCCGTCCCCTTCCAGCACGCATGGAACCTCCACCACCACACCATCCTGCGGGCGCACAATTCGCGTCACGTCGAAACGAAAGAATTCTTGGCGCAGCTCAAATATGACAAGATCGCCGCGCTCTACGGGTGCGACAAGGGGCAAGGCACTCTCCACCACCCCATAAAGACCGCCGGCAATTTCGAGGCTTCGCTGCACGTCCACACCTTGCGGGAGTCGCACCCACAGTGGATGCATCATCGCAGTCGTTTTGGACGTTGCCGACGCCGCGGGGTCGGTAAGGTTCACAAGTGCATACACTGGCCTCTGTTTCTCATCAATGACAATTGTGGCCGACGACCCGCCACCTCCACTAACGTCTCCGCCCTCAAAATTATTCCGAAATAAGAACGTGTTCTCGGACTCTACGGGCGCTGTTGCAGTTCCTCTCAAAGAAGGTGATGATAATGATGATGATGAGGGCCCGGATACAATTTGTATGGACTGCAGAAGAGAGCGTATCTCCCGTTCGGGCTCCGTGTCAGTCGTAAAAAGCTGCTCGCACATCCGACGCGCTGTCTGATAGTAACGTTTCTGATGCAGAGCGGCTTCTCCCGTCAGGCTTTCCACCGTGCGGGAATCAATAACCTTGCGTGCAAGCAGGTCCCGCAGCGTGGTGCGGGCAAGAGGGTTGTGGGGGTCAAACTCAAGCGCTGCAAGAGCTGTGCGCATAACGCCGTCGTGTGAGCGCTTGTACAATGCCTCCCCTGATTCGCCGGCGGTTAATTTTCGCACCTTTTCCCTCCAAAGTTTCCATGCGGCGTTTGCAAGGGCGTCGGCAGCCGCGGTAGCACACAAAGCATCACAAACGCGTTCATGAAGTGAGCCAACCGCCTTATCCAGCACGAAGCCCGGGTCACGCAGTAATGCCGACATCTCTTCGTTCTTTGTGTCCCCGCCAACCCACTGATGGCGCGAGGCCCCACATAGGAACAGCTGGCGAAGAATGGAAATACTCCCGCCCAGGATGGCGCACGGCAAAATGCCTTCGTCAAACTGCAACGCAGTGCAGCGAATGGCCTTCGCGGTCCTTCTTGGCACCACCTTCTCATCTGTTACCAAATCCGAACCCTGCATCCTCGCAAAGCCAATACGCACGCGTTTCTCTTCGTATGTTTCTGTGCGTGTTACATTTGATGGCAACCGGGCATCGCGGTGCACCGCCACCCATGCCGTAAGAAGCAGCCGCACACAAAACTCGTGGCCCCTCGCACACACCCAATAAAGTAGCGTTAAACCACCTGTCGCTTCATACGGCGCCGTCGTTGTGAGCGCTACGAAGGCAGCAGTGATACCTGCTCCATGCGACATTTCATACAGAGCCAAGAGCGAGCCATGAAGACCCACGTCCCCGCGGTCCTGTGGTGTTAAGGATGACAGTTGGGAAAAAACACCATCGTCATCCGCATCTTTACAAGAAGCTTCCTCAGGTGTCATACGCGTATTGTTCATCTGTTTTTTGTTCACAGGAGTTGTTTTATTTGTTGTGTTGGCGGTGTCCATTTCAAACGCCACTTCCTCCTGAACAAGAAGACAACACTGAATCAGCAAAAAGGCCCAAAGACTAAAAACGTCTCCGCCCACCTGCACGGCTGATGCGCTCCCCTGCGAAGGAGTCGTCACCGCAAACAGGGTCGGATGCGTCCCAGCATATAACCACTGTTCTACAGAGAGGCGCAACGTTTGCACCGCTCCATTCCAAATAGCATTGCGACACACAGCAATGGCGTGTGTCCATAAAAGTCGTCGTGTATCGACATCGGCGACAATCGCATCATCATGGCTTTCGTTTGTTGAATGAGTAGCGTTCAAATTGGCATTCTTCTTTCCGTCACACTCCGAAGGTAATTCCCGGGCAATGCGATAGGTGGCGTAAAACTCTAAAAGGGACCACATGGCGTCGGTACCCGGGACATGATCAATGCTTGCTGCGTAGCAAAGTGGGCACCGCCCCACATGAACGACTTCCACATCACTGCCACCACGATGCAGCAGCGTTTGAATTTTCCAAACGGCTTCCGCGAGAAGTTCGATAGCTGCCACAAGGGACGGCTGCCGCAAAAGCTCTTGAACGGGTGGAAATAAAACAGAAGGCTGCAATTGTACCAAATACGTCGCTGCATTGTGTGGCTTTTGGGTTCCGACTCGAGTTTCTTTAAGGACAGAACCGTGAACGGTGGTGCTCTCGTTCCTTTTAAAAGTTCCATGGACACATCCAATGTACCTGAGAGTGAGTTCCGTAGCAAAGTACTTGACAAAAGCAAAAAACAGCCCAGTCTTCTCGGTGTTGTTCTCTGCGTTTACAACAGGGTTGTGACGCATGTCATCCTCAGAACAACATATCTTCAATGAGTCATCCAAAAGGGAGCAGATGACATCACTCGCTCGGTCTAGACTCGCCCACGGCCCCTGCAAAAGAAGGCATTTAATAGAATCCAAACAATCGCTATCCCTTGAAGCCATTCAGGCAGAACTCTTTCCCTCCCTCCCTCTATGCATATGGAAATAAACGGGCACAAAAGGAAATTACTCCTTTTTCCTTTTTCCTTTTACTTCTTTTTTGTCTTTTTTTTTTTTTTTTTTTTTTTTCAGTCAACGCCCGCTTTTCTTTGTTGGTTTGTTTCTGTTTCGTTCGGCAATGTCTAATCTCTTCCCCCAATCACCCACTCTTCTTCCTTTTCACCCCGTCTTCTGTGACGTGAGACGAATGCCTGATATTTCACTCTGTGTAATGACCGCCGTTCCTTCTCGTGCGCTATTTCTTCAACTGAAGAGAGCTCCAGGCAGGCAGGGGGGAAGGAAAAAGAAAAAAAAAAGAAAAAGTACAGTTTAGCCCTCACCACAAATGGTAATAACACGGCAGCACCAGCAACAGCGATGGTGATTGGGAACACGACGGAGAGCCGCGATATTGGATTAGAACCATTAACACGTTAGTAAGAAAAAAAAAGGGGGAAAAAAAAAGGAAGGAAAATAATTTTTTTTAATTTTTTTTTTTTACGTTTTGCTTGTGTTTGTTTGTGTGGGGAGGAGGAACTCAACCATCCCTCTCACCCAAATTCACTCCATCGTTCCTTCTTTCCTTCTTTCTATATGTTTTTCTTTTTTGTTGTTGTTGTTGTTGTTCTCTCTCTTTATCTTTCTCTCTCTCTCTCTCTCGTTATCTTCCCTCGTAATTTCACCTGCAGTGCCCATCGCTGTGTTAACGATCCCACCACCAACACCACCACTACCTCTTCTTCCTCTTTTAATTCTCGTCCCCTTCTTTTCTGTTTCCTGTAAATTACGCAAACATAACACTATGGGGCTGGCAGTGCTTTTCCTTTAGCCGTATGTTCTCAAGCTCATCACGGAGCATCTGCATCGTCAGTCGACGCTCCTCGCTGTTCAGCATGGCCACACTGCAGCAGGCGTTAAATGCCGCCGAGTGGATTGTCTTCGCCGACACAGGCGTCTCACTGAGCACATCAAGATCAATATCGTCGGCAACAGGCATCCTCTCCGGCAGCGCTCGCCGCCAGAGTTCTCGTCGGAGCTGCTGCGTTGGCAGACGGAAAAGAATTTCCTGCTGAAAGATTAAGGGTGTCGCACGCACATCGATGCTTGATGCTTCTGGCGTTCCTGTTGTTGCAATAAAAATAACGGGACGTGGATAGCGCACGGCATGATAGTAGATAAGCTTCGCCACATGTAGACTCTGTTCAGAATGATTAAACAACACTTGCGCCTCGTCAAAAACAATAATGGCGCCAAGTTTACGGCCCTCATCAAACACTTCATGCACCTTCAGGGCCCCAACAAGCAACAGTTCTGCCACATTACAGAGGCGTATCGTTGCGGCACACTCATACGCAATTCCTTCTACTGCCAGACTCTTCCCAGTTCCACTAGGACCGTGAAAAAGATACAGAGCCCCTTGATCTACACAATCGTCCTCGTTAAATCCCCACTGTGAAAAGAGTGTGCTACGGCCCTTCGAAAGCCGGGCCACGGCATCAAGTTGTTTTTGCGTTTGCCGCTCCACCACAAGATCGGCAAGCGACCTCTTTGGAGTGATATACGACTCCGTGGAAGCGCCAGGCGGTTTCTCTGCCGCAAGAAAAAAGCCGCGTAACTGCAGTCGTGCGCCCTCCTCAAAGTCCCGCATGCATAACGTTGGTGTTGATGTCTTCTCCCGCGCCACCGCCCTGTTAAGAGCAGCGAGTGTCGCGTTGCGGATAAGACCACCCGAGAGTTCATAGTTGAGTGCCAAGGTGGCGATAGAGACATCTTCGTGCAGTGTAAGGTTACTTGGGAGGTGGGCACGCCAAATTTTTTCCCGCATCTGTTGATCAGGAAGGCGAAACTCCACCATGAGGGAGATGCGGCGATTCATGGCCTCGTCAATCAATTGTGCCTTGTTTGTCGCAAGCACAATCAGGCCATCGTATTTCTCAAATTCGGCGAGAATGGAAGTAACAAGCGGGTTGGTCTCACGGGACTCAAAGATGGATTCACACTCGTCAAAGAACACTATCGCATCGTTTAACTTCGCTTCACGGAAGATAAAACGCAACATCTCTGGAGCCTTAGTGTCGTTCTTAAACTGCAGTAAGCTGACAAGAAGAATACGCTTGTGAAGTTCATGGGCGACTGCATTAGCCAGCATGGTCTTGCCTGTACCACTTGGCCCGTAGAAGAGGAAGACCAGCCCGCCTGTGCTCGTGCCCAGTCCTTCATGGAAACCACAACTCCGCTTGCATTGCTCAAATAACGTATAATGCTGAATCGTAGTAACAACCATATCCGTGGTATTCTTTGGCAGCACAACCTTTTCCATTGGTACAACCGGCATGTAAAGACGTGATCCGGGCACCATTTCCGCCGTCTCCGTCTCCGTACCCATGAGATAATCCACAATCTTGCGATCAATGTCAACAACGTAGTCCATGAGGTCTGTGTTAAAGCAGGTGCGGCCACCACCGTCCAGCGAGAGGGAAAGCACACTGTTCGAGATAAGCGGGCCAGACTGATAAAAAGACCTGCGGGCTGCCACACGCTCCTTTAAATTATCACAAAGGACAAAGAGAATGTAGCCAACAGTCAGCACTCGTTGTCCCTCCCGCATGACATAACGGCCATTAATGGCAATAAGTATGTCATTTGAAACGACATTTCCAATGAGTAACAACATAATGCGCTTTTCAAGATCGGAAAGTTGTAGACGCTGTGAGAGTGCTTCAATACGCGGAAGAAATTTTCCAGCTTTTATTGTTGCTTCGGTGCGGGAACGATGAATAGCCGTAGCAACGCGCACTTTACCTCGAAGTTCTCGAATCATTGCTTCCATCTTTGTCTTTGGTGTAAAAATCGCCTCATCCTCATCCTTTATTTCACTTTCCGCTCCTCGAAGCCGCACAACATTTGCAATCAATTTAAATGACTCGTCCATGTAATCAATGTCGCTTGCATACGGCACATGGAGAGTGGACCCTGTCACAACACAAGAGGTGGACGACGCGACACTGCCATTGCGTCCAGTAGTACCACCACCTTGCTGCGGTTGCTGAAGGTTCGAAAGCAACTTCTGCAGTCGCTCCGTCACCGCCGTCTCAATGTTGCCCTCTTCGCCGACTTGCAGGATGTTCGGGTCAACGACAAGTGCCTCCAGATTGGGCGTGCTGCCACCGCTGGTGCAGTTTGACATCTCCTCCTCGGCGTCCTCGTTGTTTGGGTGATGCGTTTTCTCGGTTTTATACATCGCCTTTTCACCTGACGTTCCCGCCGCTGCTGTCATGTTTGTATCTTCACGCTCCTCCACGAGAATTTCCGCCAATGCCGTCTTCTCCAGCCGTATCAACTGCTCCTCCGACAGACTGTCCCCTGATAGTGCTGCGATGACCTCCTGCGGCATCGCCAGCCTGCAGTCCATAAAGCTGCTCTTGAGCTTAATATCCGATGTCAGCATTCCCTGCTTTATGTGCTCGCGGTAATCTGCAAGAAAATGCATCAGCTGAAACGAGCTCAGGTTGTTGTGAAGCGCAAGGGCGGCAGGTGTCAGAGAGCCATTACCGCCGCAATTCAGCGGCCACACGGAACCACAATGGCATACAAGCACATAAGTCAACGTCTCCATTTCGCGGGGCTGAAGCTGCAACTTTTGCGCCACACGAACGACACGGGGTGGTAATCGCATCTTCTGCAGTCTTGTGGTGATGTGAGATGTGTACATGTCAATCGCCACCTTTTGACAGGGGCGACACTGCTGGAAAAGGTCCAACTTCGCCGTCGTCACCATCCGAAGCAGTTGCGTGTTGGCATTGGCAAAAACGGAGGTAAGGGCGACCCATTCATTCCAAACATACCGAGACTCGTGTGCTGCAATGAATTCACTGTCATCCGCAAACGGCGGGAGTCGTGCCTCTGCGATGCGGCATATGCTCTCCAGCAACTTCTCTTCTCTCTCCTTTTGATGCGGAAACGACTCAACACGGTGCCGCTTCATCTCAATGCCAGAATTATCATCGTCCGGAAGCAATGAAACGCGAGAAAGATAGCCGTTGACTGTGGAAGGAAAAACAAAGGAATTTAACACCTCATAACGTTGGGGCAGTGAGAATTCACTGGAATTCTGCTCCGGTTGCTGCTGCTCTTGTGAACCGACATCCCCTGTTCCCTTCCCGTTATGCACGGGACGGCTGGCCGGCTTCACGTCATTCGTGACCTGAGCCCCATCATCACTACCCACGCCCGGACCAACGGTCCACGTGGGCGCCAAGAGCGAGATGTAGTGCTGCAGAATCGGGGCAAAGAGGTCAAGCTGTTTATTCATCGCCATCTCCTTCTTTTCTTCCTCCCCAAACTGACTCTTGTTTCCGGCGGCGACCGTAGCAGCCTCGCGGGCAAAATTGGCGTCCGGACTGCGTTGTCTGCGCTGTCTCTTCGCCATACTTATCAGCCGTCGCTCAAACAGAGACAGACACAAACAGACACACGCAGAAAGGCACTCACTGGCAGTAAACGACGTCCGTCCCCTATGGGGCTTTTTCCTTCCTTGCACAGCAACAAAAAAAGCAAAGGAATAGGGAGAAAATCTCGTATTGGAACCGAAAGGAAAGTATATATGTATATATGACGCACACAGAGAAGGGAAATAAAAGGGAAGAATGATGACAAAACAAATTCGAGTCCCGTTCCCAATGAAGATGGCGTTTATCAGTGAGGGCAGTCAACATCAGCATGTCCAGTTATCCCACACCTCGAACACGCCTTTGTCTCCAACACCAAATCCTCATCCGCAATGGCGTAATGGAAACGATCTTTCCCTCTTTCCAGTGCTGCTTCTGTTGACTTCTCCTTTGTGGCTCCACATGCCACAGACCGCTCCTGCTGAAGACGGTGCCGAGCATACACCTCAGCCTTCTCCCGCAATGAAACGGGATCCGCTTCAGTCCTCTTCCCATGATTATTGAGCGGGGCGGTGGGACGATCAAAGCGTCCAACAAGTGGCTCTACACCAAAGGTGCAGACCACTCGCGCCATCGCGAGTTGCGTGTCATACGGCATCTCCTCCCAACGAATAGGCAGCTGTGGCTCTTGTTGCCACTCTGTTTGTCCTTCTTTTAGTTGTTTTTGTTGTTGTTGGCTCCAACAAAATAGTTTTCGAATGTACACAAAAACAACACCCACATCCTCCGGCGCCAATGTCTCGGCGGTGTAGACAAACCTCCACATGGATGCCTCCCGGTCCAACTCGATAGATATAACGTCGACCACCACATCATCATGGACAGGTCGCTGAAGGCACACTTGAAGTGTGCGTCTGGCGACTTCGTAACACACCCACCAGTCATCTTTCTCCCCCTTGACGCCGTTGGAAGTTGTTATCTTTGCAAATGCCTCATGGAAGAAGCTGCGGAACAGGAAGCAGTACGCCGAGAGAATCTCCACGTTGGATTCAAACCGCCGCCCACGTACCACAAGCTGCACTCGCTGCGGTTGCTTCGCGGCTGACATCGACTTTTTGCAAGCACAGAAACAAATAGACACGCAGATACGGGAAGAAAGGGCAATATAAAAAGATATATGTATATACACGCAGAAACAACAATTTTCCTCTTCCATCTCCACCCCCATCCCCCTAAGCACTGCAACTTGAGTCCAGAAGCAACATAGTGAGAATCAAAAGGCACACACCCAATACATACAATGAAAGGAAAACCAAAACATGTTGCGTCTACTCCATATTCACCCAGTAAAAATCACAAAGTCCTCCTCCTCCTTTTCGTCTCCAGAACTCGCTGCTTCTTATAACCCGTTTGCCTCTTTTTTTTTTTTTTTTTGTGTGTGTGTGTGTGTGTGCTCTATAATTCTTGCTCCTCATTAGACCGCGCGAGAAGCTCCCTCAGAACATGCAGGTTTTTATGGTTCTTAAAGATTGCTGCGGACGCGCCCTTGTCAAGCGGTGTCTTATGCGACGCTTCCACTACATATTGCACTAGTTCATCCAGAACGAGGGGATCTTCATCAGACTTTGGCGGTGGCGGCGTTACATCATGAACAACGTCTTCATCCTCATCCTTGTCGTCATCAACCATGATTTCAAATTTGCAAGACGAGTGTTCCTCTACTCCCCGTTGTTGCCTCTTCAACGCGGCCGCGGCACGAAATGTCTTTTTATGCCCAAACAACACGCAGAACTCCTTGGCACGAGTGAGGGAGACGTTGATGCGGTGCCAATCCTCCAAAAATCCCAGTGCCGCCGTGCCATCCAAACGGGACGCGGCATGCAGGGCACGGACGCAGCTGATGAAGATAATGTCCTTTTCCTTCCCCTGAAAACTATCCACTGTAGAAACCTGCAGCTCGCTGCGACGCTCCTCTTGAAGCAACAACTGCAAAATCGCCTCTTTCTGTGCCTGATAAAATGTAATTATTCCGGTACGGCGAGCAAACTCTTCCGGGGTGAGCTGCAGCATCGCACGGAAACGACGCATTTGCAACACAACCGCCTCCGCCTCCTGCCTGTTCATCAGCGAGCGTCCTCTACCCCACTCCATGAGTCCATCCTGTACATCCACAAACACAAATCGCGGCACCCTCCTTATGTCTGTTGGTAGGGGCAATGCCTGAGAAGGCCCATCGCGCTGCCGCGCCATGACGCTCGCATGTGTGAGAAGCTTCTTGCCATAGAAGTAGCGATTCGGGAATGCACAAATGTCAGGGTGCATACGGTACTGCTCACGCAAAAAGTACGAGCGGTGACCCTGGTGCAATAGGCGTTGCAGCAAGCTACGCTTTAGCCCACGCGCAGCGGCGACTTGACAAAGAACCGTAGGCTGCAGTTGTCTAAAGTCGCCAACGAGAACTGCCCGTTTCTTCGCAAGCATTAACGCCTGTAGAACATCGGGCTCCGTGCCCTGAGAGGCCTCGTCCACAATCACCACATCAAAAAGGAAATCCGCCCGTTGCAGCTGACTCAAAGACCCCAACGTGGAGCAAACCACATGGGCCCCAAACAGTACATGATCACGTATATTTTGGCGATTCCTATTCTTCAGCAGATCCCCACTTCCATTACGCATCATCCGTCCTGCACTTATGCTGTGCGACGTGTTGGAGACATCCGCCAAAGCCCTCACACAGTCGTCAAAAAAGAGAGGCGGCAAGGATTCCAGCACCTCACGGTCAACACTGTCTCGTACACCCACGCGAAGAAGCTGCAGATCCCCAAGTTGGGGGACACGCTTTGCAGTACCCCGCAACCGCAACAACACCTCGTCTACAGCACAGTTCGACGGGGCGCACACCAATACCCGACGGGCAGTTCTGGGCAAGTAATGCAACAAGTTAAGCGTAAGAGCTGCAATCGTTTGGGTTTTGCCCGTCCCTGGCGGTCCTTCAATAATAAAGAGATCCGGCGGCTTCGGAAGAAGTGAGAGTGGGAGCGGATTCTCAAGCGCAGTTGCTTCCCATCCTGGTGCAAATGCGAAAAGAACTGCCATAATGGCTCGCTTCTGCCACTCATTAAGGCAATGGTGCAGAACAAGAGCAAGAGAAACTTTCTCCCAGCGCTCGCTCAACACAATTTCCCTCTCAATAGCATGATAATACATACGACTAATTTTAGCTTCCCGATGTGGCTCCAGCAGTGTGCTAGCAAACATCTTCCGTTGAATGTCATGGACCGCATTCACAGTGGCGAGTGATGGACCAATTGAAGAGAGTCGTTTGATATAAAAATGCGTCTGTGAAGAAGCAAATGCTCGTATTACGTGCAAGAAATTCAACGACATGGTGCCAACCCCATTTTCACCACCAACACTAAGGGAAGCGGCGACAGCAGAAGAAGAAGAAGAAGAAAAGGACGATGCCGTCTTTGTCGCAGAAGTGAATGCCGTGAGCAATGCTGTGCGAGCTCCTGGTTGCAGCGAACTCACAAGACATATCTTTGGAACACATCCAAGCACTCGCCAGGCCTCCGGTATGCTGCAGGCGTTATCATGAAACGGGCGCGGTAATGAGGTAAAGATGTGACGAAGTGGCAACAGAAGAACTGCGACGTCGCCTTCTGAAAGGCCCGCACTCAAAGATGCTACCGTTGTCATACTAGGTGTAGATTGCAACACCACACTAAACTGCACACAGTTGGGATCCAGCGGGTTAAGCGTGACATCACCGGTGCACACCACGGACAACCCGTTTTCGGTGGTCCACAACGAGGGAGCAGGAAAGCAATTACTGGTGGAATCCATCGCACGTGCCCGCATTGCCGACAGCGTCGTCGGACGGTCACCTCGCCTCTTCTTTCCAAACTCACGCATGCGACATGACTCCAATATTTCATCAAATTTTTGATGCAACTCGTAGCGCAATTCAAGCGCAATATGAGGGAGAAACGACGCCACGTAAAGGTCACAAGCGGCGTTTGAAGTCGCGGAGAAATGATACGGAATGACAGGTACATCGACGGCTAGACAATGTCGTCCATACCCAATAATATCGTCTGTGTTTGGGGGACGCTGCAAGAAATCTGTGTTGCCAGCAATGCGACGGATAGCCTCTAGACTCTTGTTGAGGTTTTCAACACGGAATAACTCATTTACTCTCTTTTCCCCAAGTTTCTGCAAGTATCTTTGGAGCGCCGTAGGTGGTGGTGGTGCTTGTCGCTGGGAAACTAATAGGCTAGCGTCATCGTTTCCCTCCAATCGCAACTGTGGTGTGGCTTGCTGCTGCTGTTGCAACGACCCTCCCTCTCTGCTGCATGGTCCAGTTTGCGCAACCATGAGTGAAGCCAACTTGTCACGCGGACGCTTTACCGCAGATTTCATCTGCGCAACAGAAGGGGCGCTGTGTGTTGCCTGATCGCGCTCATCCGCCAGCTCCTTCAAACGACGTTCCCTGTTTGAGCGACACATCACTTCTTCCTGCCTTGCCCGTGTGCGGTTCTCCTCCTCCAACTGCATGATTTGTTTCTCCTCAACTTCGTACTGCTGGAGAGAACGATTTTGTTTCGCCATGCTGTCTTCAATGCCCCGTTGCGCGGAACGAAGAATCTCCGCCAACCAGGCCGGAGCATACTCCGTCAGCATGTCCTTTGCCTCCGCCGGTAGCTTAGGTAGAACGCGCAAAAAAGCTTTCAAGAGAGCACCTTTAAAACACTTATCCGATGGAGTCCGCGTTGGCGGAAAGGACATGGCAGCCACATGCAGGACAGCGCGAGCAAATACGGTTGCCGAATAAAAGGAACACTTCTGCACAAGCACAAGCAACAAGTGCTGTGCACATTGGCGGAGAGAATTTTGAATTTGAGAGAAGTTTGCCTCATCCCCTGAAGCCGGGATTTCAGCAACCGCCACCGCAGAACTGATGGTGGAGTTTGCAGAGCAAATGAGCATTTGTTTCTCTGTAGTGAGAGGGGGAAGTTGCGTGACAACAAGATCCAGCAGT